GCCACCCGAGCGGCCCCTGCGCCGCGCACATAACGGCCCCGCCGCTCACCTCGCGCGCGATCTGGTTCAGCGCGTCGTCCTCCGCCGACAGCCGCTCCCGGTTGGGGAGCCGCTTGCGCCCCGAGCCCTGGGTGCCCATGTCCATCGGCCGCGTCGCCGCACTGCCGGCCCGTCGCCCGCGTCGCCCCGCTCCGGCCGCCTCGCCCCTCCCTCCGCCGCGGCGTCATGGCGTCAGAGGCGCGGGGACGCCGGGGGCTGCAGGGGGCTGGGGCGGAGGGGCCGCAGGGAGCCGGGGCTTGGGGCTACAGGCGCCTAGGAACGAGGGGCCGCAGGGGACAAGGGGCAGGGGGACGCCGGGGCTTCGGGTCGCAGGGGCCCGGCGGCTGGGGGTTGCGGTGACACCAGGGTCGAGGGCACAGGGAGCCGGGACCAGGGCAAGTAGGCGTCAGGGCCGCAGGAGACCTCGGGTTGGGACCGCGGGGACAGAGGACACTGGGACTGGCGACTGTGCGGTCCAGCGGGAACATAGAAAGCCAGGGGCGCGGAGACGGAGACACCGGGACTAGGGCACAGGGCGCAGGGTTGATGGGGAACCGGCTCTAGGAAAGTGGAGACCATGGAGACGCCTGGAGAGGGGGCGACGCGAAATCGTCAGAAGCTGGCCAGGAGGGACCTGTCGGGGACCGGGACCACAGGCGCAGGGACAGGCAGAAGAAACAACATCCCTGTGTGGTGTCCAGGACATTGAAGACATCTAGAAGGTGGTACCCCAAAGCAATTGCACTTGGGTTTCCCCCTCCAGCATCGCCTAAAACCCTGCCACCGAGCCCTTTCCCTGTTCCTATCCCACCTGCACAATTACAGTGTCAGCGAAGGGACAGTTCAGACCAGGAGATAGAGTGCTGCACAGATGCCCATCACAGGGCATCTCCAAGCGTGGCACCCAGCCCTTCACAGAGGTGCCCATGCGGCTGAAGGAAGCATCCACCAGAAAGCGCAGCCGCCAATCAGTCTTGGAGAGGGGGCGTGCGCACTGTTGGCCCCAGGCGCTCCCAGCCCAGCCCTGGCTCGGGTTCTCTTAGAGCAAGAGCTCTCTCTGGCTGGGGACGTCAGTCAGCCCCATGACGCATCGCTTCTTGGGCACAGCACTCTTTGTAAGGCATCCACATCCACCCCAAAGATGACTCATTCTTGGTCTACTGGGAGAATCATCCCGCTGGTCCACCCTCTAGTCTCTCCGTGCTGTGATCCAGGCTTGCCTCTTCCAGTCCCTAAAGTTCAATTAACAGCAGCTGGACAGGCCTCGCTTGGGTTGCTGCTGGAGGGAGGCCGGGGAGCATTAGAGCCCACTTACAGATGGTTTGATGGGCAGAGGAAGAAGCAACTCCTGTACAGAACTTGAAGCCAGAATCTGCTGGGGGCCTGGCTGGTTAGTTCTGTATGATGCTTGAGGGGATGATAGTCTTCCACGTCTGCTGGCCCTTCCCGTCGCCTCCCTCAGTGGATCATATACAACACATCCACACAGACAGTCATACCCAACCTTCACACAATCCACAGTCACTATCTGAGGGAATTTTTTTTTTTTCTCTCTCCCAGAATGACACCATTTTCAGCTGTTCCTCCACATCTTCTGGAGATTAAACTGTGGACTCATCTATTTCCTTTCTCGTCTAAAATCCAATCAGATGCCAAAACTGAGCTTTCCTTTTTCTTCTATATGATCCATTCCTCTTCTGCATTTTTGCTGATGTTGTCTATGAGGGGGTGACTCAGAGCGGCAGACAGGACACGTCACAGATGTACATCACCAGGCATCTCCAGGCCTGGTACCCAGCCCTCCACAGAGATGCAGATGCTGGCTGGAGGGCAGGTCCATCAGAAAGTGGAAGCAGCCAGGCAACTGACTCACCTCCTCAATTTACTCCTGGGTTACCTGCAACTTCCCAGACTTGTGGTTAGGTACCAACCAGTTGACTACGATTCCTAGAAATTTATGTATAATAAAATGAAATTGTGGTTAGCTGCCACTGACAAAACTATGGTCCTTACAGCCATGTGACTAGCAGATTTGTCCTGTCCTGCAAGATTCTCGAGTCCTGCATGCTTGAGTCCATGGTTACAGTGACTGTGTCCGTCCTTCTCACTGACAGACATCCTGTGTCACCTACCCTCCGCTTCTCCCAGCATGATGTCTTTTTCCAAGGACTGTCCCCTCCTGACAGCATGCCCCCACACACGTTATATCAAGGTTCAGTGTCCTCTCCTCTAAGGCACATCCTAGCTGCACTTCCTCCAAAATGAAACTAGTTGTCTCCAAATTGGAGTGCACAGGTTAGCCCACTAGGGTTGTTGTTATGTGCCGTAGAGTCACTTGCGACTCATAGCGACCCTATGTACAACAGCCCTAAACTCTGCTCTGTCCTGTGCCAATCGCACTGTCTCTGA